GGCATTCGTTTTATGTTACCATGAACGCGCGGTATGATACCATTCGTTGCTAGATGGTTTCTGACATTTTCGAAGTGTGTACGGCCAATTCCTAACATATTGAGATACGTTTTCTGGCAAAAAGGCGTATTGCGATCTCAGTAATAAAACGTTCGTTTATTAGTACGCGTTTTCTTTTTAAGACGTCGGCTGGCGGTTATTTTCTCCCGCCATTCATTGCTTTCAGCTGGGCCATTAAAAATATATCTTGTTCGGATTTAGAGAGAGTTTGAAATGCCTCACATAATTCAGCAAACTTTTCTCTCGCAATCTTTTTTGAACAACCACAAGTGCAAGAAACGGATTGCTTTTTTATATTCACTATTTTTCATATACAGGTAATCCTATATAAATTTTATCACTTTGCTTTTTTTGGCAAGTCCCGGGACCGTTGCATTTAGTGAGGGTGTGAGGATGTGCATGAAGGCGAAAATTGTGTAACGGTCAAAAAAAATTTTTTTATCTACCGTTATTATTTCAGTATTTGGTTAATCAATCTTTTGTTTCGAAAATCATACTTTCGCCTGCTCCACGCTAAGAGGAAGGAACGATGTCGACTGCCGAAAATTCTCGTTCGACTTCTTTATGGATGGATGGTATTTGTTTGTTTGTGTTTTTTTTAATACAACGATATCTAGTTTGGTTAATCTTACACCTACATGAAATTTGCAGTGGTTCGGGAATATCTCGACAGCAAAGAACCGGAAAAATGGTCATACAATGAGTTCTTGACTGAACAGCGTAATGCAATCATCACGTTGCCACCTTTCAGCGATGACTGGAGCTCTCTAAACGGAACATGGCTGAAAAGGTCTTGCTCAGCAGCTGAGGAACGTTGTAAGCAATCTAATGTTAGAAAGGGGGTATGTTTCGTTTTACAAAATATTAAGCAGTAATGATAGCACTCCCGTTCAAGTATTACTGGTTCGGGAGAATTCAGTTACTACTGAGGTTATCATTGTTTGCGAGTGATCAATGGCGAAACTCCCGTTCAAGTATTACTGGTTCGGGAGAATTCAGTTACTACTGAGTTCGTTCGTTGGTTGCGATGGCTTTTTGTTTACTCGTTATCAATATCAATTTTATGTATTCAAATCGGATTTGCTGACGTTAATTTATTCCGAGGCGAACTCTGACAATAACCGCGCTACTGGAGAAACCTAATTCTGGAGCGTACGGAGGTGATGCTAACAATAGGATGAAACCTGCTGTGCATTTTCCAAAGCAATGATTCTAAGGGCTAACACTGTCAATGCTATAGATCGAGACGGAAGCAGCTATAAATAAAGCGGGGCTGCAAACACTCGGGGTCTCAGTCGATGCCAATGGGAAAAGAATTCGTAAAAGGATAAATTGTATACCATTTTGATACAAAACGTGAAAATAGTTCTGAACGGTCTTATTATATGCCTGTGTACTTTAGACTTAGATTTCCGCAGAGGATGATGAGGACGATACCGAACAGAGCTCGAAGCAACAAAAAATCAGTCATTTTCCAGAGCAAGTTGTAAGATATTTCATAAACACACATTTTTGTTCGATGCGAAGTAGTTCTAAAAGGAATTGTTCGTTTGAATGCTGAAGCGCATATTGACTTCTTGTCGCGCTGTTAACTTATTTGCAGAAATGATTTTGATATTAGCTTGATGCTTTTTGTCTGTTAACTAAATTGGTGCATTTAATTATAGACGGTTGACAGAGATTTGGTACTTGACAACCTATTAAAGAAGAGCTGAAGAAAACTACTTATGATCAATTAGTGAAATGAGCTGATGCACAAGGCAGAACAACATGGAA